CCCCCCCCCCACTCTGAGGCAGAACTGCATGCTAGCTGTATTTTTTTTTCCCAGAAAGCCTGCGTGGTTTGCGAAGCAGCAGCAGCGGAAGCTGCCTTGAGTCTTACTGCTGTGTAGGTCCACTGCACTCAGCCGTCCCCCACACACACCACCCACAGCTGCGTAGAGCTCTCTCTCCCTTTCTCTCTCTCTCTCTCTCTCTCTCCCTTTCTCTCTCTCTCTCTCTCCCTTTCTCTCTCTCTCTCTACATTTGAAAGCGCTTCCCCGTCTTCATAAGTGTCTGCAATCTATCCACACGCACATCACTCATCTCCAACATAAAATTAAAATTAATAAGAACATGCAGCATCTATCAGAAACTCCAGCAAGTTCGATGAAGCCCGACGGGTTCAGATAAACTCGTCTAATTTCGGCAAACAGGAGAATTCGATCGGTTAAAACAGCCGATCAAGGCCGTGGGTGAAAGATGGATAGGCGATCTTATGTAAACGGAGTGAAAAGGTTGGACTCGTGCTCAGCGAGGATGATGCGTAACGTTATTCAGAGTGGCAGCTTGGGAGGACCTGCTGCATTGTATCGTGCTTCCGCTTTGACGCCCAGGGCCTCTCTGATGACTCTTTTTTAATCCACGTTTTATTACATTTTAAAAATAACTCGTTACGCTACAGGTGAAAGTGCGCCCCTCGTGTCAGTGGGCGGTAAACACGCCACGGGGTGGGGTGTTTGGTCACTCGCTGTTCATGCTTCACTGTAAACGGATTCCTCTCTGCTCACGTTTTCCTGTTCCCTTCAAGTCCGCCTGGCTCTGATCGGAGGCGACCTCTCCCTCGGGCAGGTTCCAGTCGTCTCACTGAAGGGGTGCCCAGTATTTGCAGGGTATAAATATGATAGGAAGTGCCTGTATTTACCACGGCTAAAATGCCGCAGTTAGCCAACCATGACTATTTTTAACAGCAGGACCTCAGGTTATTGCGGTTGGAATCATCCCCTTTTACTGAAAATGTGATCCCTGTATTTTAGGAATCCATAATCCATTTGCACTTATTACTCTCTGGGCTGACCATGTCCTTGTGAACTAAGAGAAGGGCACTGACCTGTTTTCCAGAAGGTTCTAGGTTCAAACTCAAGGCTGACATCGGCTGGTGCATTGTTTTCCCAAATTACTTTTTTTCTGTAATATTTGTGTTTGCAGAGCAAAATCAATGTCCATCACCTGCATAGCTGATTGCTTATACAGTGGTACATCAGAACTCGAATTTAATCCATTCAGAACATCGGATCGAATTCTAAAAAGTTCGAGTTGTGATTGGATTTTCCCCATAAGAAATAATGGAAAACCAATTAATTGGTTCCCGGCCCCAAAAAATTACATCTAAATGATGTTTTTTTTTAGCATTTAAACACAAAATGAACCGGATAAAACAAGAACAGCATATACTGTACTAAACACATCTAAGGACATTTATCAAAACAGTAATTTGTAAAGTAAGAAAATACATGTATCCAAATAATGTGTAAAGTTAAAAAAAACAATGTGTCCTGCCTAGATCGTCCGCTCTTTCTGTGTGCCAAGCCCCCTCGTTAACCCCGTGTGGAATCCCCGTGTGATCAGCTGTTTCTGGTTGTTGTCATTAGTACTCCGTATTTAGTCCGCGTTTCAGTTTGTTTCCCCAGCCTGGTCATCGTATTGTCCATCTGCGTTTTGCCTGCCTTACCTGTAATTAAACCCCGTATTCCCCGATACCCTGACGTCTGCGCCTTTGTCTCTGTTCCGTCCCGCTCGGCACAACAATATTATAATTAAATGTATTAATGGTTTATTATTAATATTAAAATAATTAATAAGAAATCTTTATTTAAAATGTATATAATGTATAATGTATATAAATGTATTTTATTATATAATAATTACTGTTTCTGTCTATCATTGTCTAAATGTATTTTTACTGTCTAAATATATGTATTCAGCTAGTGTAAACATGCACGATGCTATCACAGCGAATGCGAGGCTGAGCCCTTTGTTTCCGCTGAGAGACGTGCCGCGTGACTCATTTCCCCGCGCATACAAGTTATCTTAGGTCGGCGTTCACAGTTTGACTTCTGAGATTCAGATCGAGTTCTAGGTAATTTTTTTTCGAACTGGTTGGTTCGAGAACTGAGGTACCACTGTACGTGTAATATACCACTTTCTTTTTGGCCATCCATCCATCTATCCAGCCATCCATCCATCTATCTTTCATACCACTTATCTGGTAGAGTTGTAATTACATTAAAGCAGAGTGCTGGGGACCAGATTCCAGTTCACCGTGGGGCTGCATGTAACTCACACATTATCATGCACTCTTCTGAGTTCATTAACTGTGGACAAATAAACATGTTAATACTGTAAAGTGAAGTCAGGAAGCGTTTTTATGTCAAAGTAAATATGTACATTTTGAATTAACAAGGTTATGGACCAGGAGCTGATTATGCTGTTACTTTGCCAATAATGCGACAGTTTATGGATTTACTTGATAAGTGTCCCATTGAAACAACTACTGTGTAAACACACGTATGCTTGGGAGTGGAAATAAATATTTTATAGCAAGTAAATAATTTAGACTGATCATTACGTTTGCTGCATACTAAACCTTTAATCAGTTTACCCAAGATGGTTGCCGATTCCTGGCCTGTTAAGCCTTGAGCAGTGTTTCCCAATCCGGTCCTTGGGGACCCTCAGTCGGTCCATGTTTTTGCTCCTTCCCTGGTAGGGAGGTGGGAGGGACCAAAAACGTGGAATGTCTGTAGGTCCCTGAGGACTGAATTGGGAAATACTGGCCTAGATGTTTAAAGGCATTGAGATTTTGCTGGCCGTAATTAAAGGTAGTGATGTCTGTTAGAGGCAGCACTAAAAGGGAGATCGAACAGGGAGAGGCGCTTGGTCTGCTAATTGCAGGCTGGAGAGGTCATGCATCATCCGCACGCCTGGACTGGGGCTTCTGTCTCTGCATCTCACCTCCGTAGTTCGAGAGGTGTGTTGCGTAGTCAGTGAGTAAGTAATGCGCAGTTCCTCACACCAGCAGATAAATCACTCAAGACGATGCGCAGTGACTGCACTCTCTACTTTTACTACTGAGCTTTGCAATCTCTGTCCTATCCATCTCTAAACATTGATATTATAAATAATTTTAATAAGTGTAACATTTAATAAGTATAAAAGTATAGAGCAGGTGGGTCTAAGCAACTAGAGGAGGTGTCATCAACCAATCAGATGTCTTGGTCCCACCTCCTCTATTTGCTTG